AGTTTACTTGTACAAGATATTTTTTTTCCAATAAAATAAATACACCAATGCATGTAGCATGCCTTAGGGAGCTATTCGTGTGATTTTCAAAAAAAAATGTGAAAAGTGCCAAAAAAAACTATTCTGCTACCTTAATTATGAGAAGATTTTAACCCACAATTAACCAGGTCGGTCTATTGTCCTACAGCATCCATGTACAAAGTTTCATTGAAGTGTGATGATTAGTACTTGAGATATCAGTGTGAAAGTTGAAAATGAGGTGATTAATATGCATAAATATTTACCGAAAACTAATTGGGTCCCTGCATAGTTTTAGATTCATTGAAATGTGATGATTACTGGAGATGTCAGTGGAAAACTTGAAAATTAATTAATTATGCAAATTAGGTAATTAATATACACAATTATTTACCCTGAAACTAATCAGGGCTGCGCAGTGTCCTATGACATCTATGTACAAAGTTTCATTGAAATGTGATGATTAGTACTTGAGTTATCAGTGGAAAAAACTGAAATGGACTAATTGTTATGCAAATTAGGTAATTAATATGCACAGATTGTCACCAAAAACTTAGTAAATCTGAGCACAAGTTCAGAGCATCTATGTACCAAGTTTCATCAAAACCCGATGTATGGTTCTTGAGATAGCAGTGGAACAGACGGACACACATACATACAGACAAGCTCACTGCAGACTCCCATTGTGTGCTTGGGAGTCAATTATCACAACATCAACTAAATGACAGTCGCATAAATTGTGTACATGTAATCACATCGCATGTAATCAACCCTCATTCACAGACAACATGAACTTTACAATAACAATGTGGCAAGAATTTCTTATTTCCATGGCAACAGTGATACCAGGATATTACACACATCTTGCATTTAATGTATGCACCATGTGACCACTAGTTACCAAGGCATCCAATGGCAACCAGCCGGCTTAGTAAGTGCAATAATTTAAGGCTCATTCGAGTATGTCTCTTAATATTAATTTATATAATGTTATTTAGAAAAAAACAGTTTTTATGAGATGTTCCAGTTGGTTTAACATGTGGAACATAACTGAACAGTGCCATTATGGACAAAGCATTGTGATTCTATAATTCTGTGCAAGCCATATTTGTACAATTCAGATACTAACCTTTCTATTAACAAAGCCCTCTAACTCTATGGCTATTTTCAAACCATTGGCAGCATCAATGGCTCTGGCTTCTTCAACCTAAAGGAACAGAAAAACACATTCTCTGAATGCCTTCGTCAAAAATTATATCAGCCAAATGTCAAATTGGCTTAATGTTTTTGTCAAAACTTGCAGCAAGTGAACTTGTGTATGTGTGTATATATATATATATATATATATATATATATATATATATATATATATATATATATATATATATTGTCAACCTTTATAGACTTTCAGAAGATAGAATTATAAACACTATTACAATCACCACCTGAATATACTAATCTAATCCCTCACATACAACCCGAACCTGAAACCCAACCTAATGGGATTCCATGCCAGGGGATTCCAATCCTGTCACACCCCATCCCATCCCACCCCACCGCACCCGAACCTGAAACCCAACCCAATGGGGATCCTGAACAGCGTAATCCAGCCCGGTCACACCCCACCCCAACCTGACACCCAACCCAATGGGGATCCTGAACAGCGTAATCCAGCCCGGTCACACCCCACCCGAAACTGAAACCCAACCTAAGGGGATCCCGAACAGCGTAATCCAGCCCGGTTATACCCCATCCCAACCTGGAACCAACCTATAGCATTCCATGCCAGGGAAATCCAACCAAAACAAAACAGTGTAATCCAGCCTGGTCACACAACACTTCAACCTGAAACCCAACCTAAGGGGATTTCATGCCAGGTCATACATGTATAAGAGTGATGTACAGATTGACTTCTTTGTTGAGTTAACTTCAATGTGTACGTCTTATTCATTTGCCATCATTGCATTGGCCAGTAACAAGTTGGAGAAAATCTCTTTGAGGTATCCAGCCTCCATTACTATCAAATGGGAGCTGAGAAGCAAACACATCACAACTATATTCTCCTAACAGTTGATACTTTTTTTATTCCGAATGAATTGATGTTACATGTATTTTTTGATTTTATATTATTTGTATGGAAGAGACCCCAAGGCCTTATATTACTGTTTTGAAAATAAATATCAACTATCATCATCCAATTGTTGAACATCATTAAAAATTGTAGGAAACAATGTTTTGTACCTTTTGTGCAACACCGGAATATACATCTTGTGGGACGTCAAATGGATGTAAATTAACTTGCTGTGCTCCGATGACATCACGACCAAGAGCAGCATAATGCTGCAACCCATTGCATGAACCATCCTGTAATAGAATATCACAAATATAAGTAGTAATAAAACAATTCATCAGGTTTGCAACGAAATTGTCTATTTCATAGTCCATCAATGTGAGATTATGTCAAAAATTTTTATTCTAAACCTGGATATTCACTGTAATCTATTGAAAGTAAGCCTCCAAGACCTGTTTTTTTACCTTGCTTCACAACCGCTGCCAGAAGAAATTCTTATAGGAATGGGTTGTGAAGTATGGCAACTTACAAGGGTTGCCTTAGCAACCGAATCTCTTTAACACAAGCAGGTCTAAGTGCCTGATTTTCCCCACTAACTTTTGGTGCAAGCAGATGTGATTTTCACTAATACAATGTTATTTTGCACAAGACAGACAGAATATGACATGGCCTATAGACTTGTAAACAACAATATGCAACAGGATGATGATACAATACCTGATGTACTGGTAAATGACTGATGAACTTTGTGGGATCCGGTGACCTGACAGCTTTTGCCACTTCCATACAGCATGACAGAGTTTGCCACGGTTCATCTGCCGTTTGCCACCACTTATTGCCCTGCATTAATAAATTGACAAAATGCATCAGACTACAGGTACCTATATGAATTTGTTTGCAGGCAGTTCTTCTATGAATGTATTAGAATCAACCAATCACAGGGCATCTCACTGGACAATGGTCTGCAATGGATGTGTTGATTGTTTGTGATCATACAAAACATGCATGTGATTTTCATTGTGATCAGAATTATTTTGATATGACCTCTTCAGGTGAGTGAAATTGTAAGTAAAAAGATCCTCATTTTACATTGGATTGTTATGAGATAGAGAAAGTCCATACTCACCGTGGTAGGGTTGTCAGCAGAGTCCAATATATCATCCATGATTGTGTCAGCGTATTCTAATCTTTCTTGTAAAGAGTTCCTAGTGAAAATAGAAAAGCAAATAAATTACAAGAGGAAGTAAACACTGTGTAGGTGATTGCACCATGAATTTAGTGTAAACTATTTAATTCTTGCAGTAGTGATGTATAGCGATTTTACCGTGGTCGTGAATTTGTTTCAGATACTTAACCAGCAGTATTGTCAGCATATTGCCAGACGTTTCAGCTACATGTACACTGCAATGTTGCTTTCAAGAAGCCAGTAAGATGGAGGCAACATTGCTTACAAAACAGCTGTATTGTCAACCAATTAGCTGACAATAATAATGGTTAGGAGTAAGAAACAAATTCGTGGCTACAGTAGATATTTAATGGGGGTGAAGAGGATACAATTTTGTGAAAGCCAATGTGACTGTCTTTTAAACCCAGGGATTTTTTTAAACAAGGGAACAGGGGCACAGCGCTCTTATACCTTGGCTATGCGCCTCCTTACCCTGGGGAGCAACAATGGCCATAACATTTTTTCAAAGAAAATTTAGCAAGATTGTACTCACCTTTTTTTAAACCCTGTCAAATTAACAAGATGTATTTTCAGCCATTTTAATCCATCTTCCCCTAGAGCACGCCCTCTAGCAAACAGTAATATACTTCTCATAGGATCGTTTCCAAGATGGTTGAAGTGGGGAGGGCATGGATAAACTCGACCACGAAAATCCATATTGTGTGGAAACCAGAAAGTTTCATCACGAAACTGAAAACAATATCAATACACATTGCTGATATATGTCAGTGTTTTATTCCAAATGGCCAACAAACAGCCATTTTTGACGTAACTATTTCAGGGTCCATAGAGTTGGGAAAATCATTTGATTTTTTGAGGTCTGGAAAGTCCTTGAGTTGTCTTTAAATTACAGGAAAAATAAAAAGTCTTTAAATTTCTTCATAGTTATTACAAGTAATTCATTTTAGAAAGGCCCGCTTTCTGTTTTCTACCCCAGTTCCGACAAGTGTCGGCAGTGTTTGCTATCCCCACGCCCAAATTAAGGGTCAAAAATATCTTGGGGAAAAATGCAAGAAAGGTTGGGAAAAGGTCTGGAAAGTCTTGAATATCATTTGGCTCTTGGTGCTATGGACACTGTATTTGTGAAAACTTTACTTGAATCTCTCTCTGAATATA